GTTCAAAATTGAATGGCAATCTATTCGGCACAGATTTATCAATCGCGGAGAGCATAGCGCGAAGCGTTTAAACGATTTGCCCTCACAACGTGTAGCGCTATAGTTGTCTTTTTATCTTTCGAGTTTGTTTTATCAAGCGCGTAAAAATTGCACTTTCCAGTCGATCGAATTAATCAAGTTTCTTTTCGACGTCGTTAATTTTCATCGAAATGCGACCAAACGTATCTTTTTGCGTATTATGGTACTTACAAGTTACATCATCGGCTGTAATCGATCGATATAACAATTGTTCTACCACTTTGTGATATACACGCGTATAAAACTATCTCTTTCCAGAGGAAACGTAGATTTAAACAAGAACGTTCGGCAAATCCCTCCCTCTTATCATCACCTCGATCTACTATAATATAACCATGGTTATTTTTGCTTTACATCTCAATTACATTTCGCTGCACGCATAACCTGACCGTTCTGCCGAATTTCCAGTCAGCTATTTATCACGGTATCAGAAATTCCCCCACTTAAAACGCATTACGAGCTTTTTATCACTCGTAGATCCCTCCTTTATGGTACGACCTGGTTGACCTCACCTCACCATGGAAACCTTTCCATGTCCTAAAATATCTTCCGACCGCAAACACTTTCTAACGTGCAAAGATATTTTAACACGCGGACCAACAAAGCAGATCCGCAGAACGAAAATACCTTTCCCGCGCAAAAACGATGCCCACGGTGGCTACCACGTCCATCTATAACTTGCACATATCTGCCCCCTTGCGCACTCTGCTTTTTATCTCTATATCCGTATATCTTTTCCGATCCCAAATCCAACTTCTATCCAAATATTTTTCTATAGATTTGCTTTCAAGAATCTGTTCGAAATAGTATTTGAATTATAACGATTTCTCGTCATTTATTCGTATTATGTTATAAAACGTTCAAGCATGTTTAAGAACGTTTAAGAATCGCAATTGACGTATATTAATGAGTTTTGCTGCGACATTTTTCAAATTGTATAAACGCTTGCGCATAGTTGCGCTCTATTGTGAGCTGTTTTGAATAAAATTTATAAACCGGTTTACCGTATAGCCCGGCTCACTTGGCTGTACCGGTTCGCTATAAAACATAAAGGTACTAAAATTTAAACCGCGGCCAGACCTTTGATTCGATCGAAAATTTCAATCTGACAAGATAATACCAACCTTTTATAAATGAATTCTACAGTTCTATTCATGGTAGTTTGTCTATTCGAAATATAATAGATAGAGACGAGTCGATACAAATAAAAAACGAGTACACACTACTCTGATGGATGGTCCGGAGAATGTGTTTCTTAATTATCCGTTACAACTATAACGATAGTCGCGTGGTCGCGTATCGTTACTTTATTTTTATTCCCCCTTTTCGAACTTTCTCATAGGTATCGCTATTCGTGACGTCTATCGAGCTAAGGGCTGATAAAGAAGACCGAACAGTTGTTTGGGCTCGCCGTTCGTCCCCCCGAATGATAATTCTTTATCGTATCCGGCTCCTCATACATACATACGTACACAAACGATGTGCATACGTTTATACAGATATACATACATACATACATAGGTATGTACGTATATACGTTCTATCCTTCGCGTATATACAGCGTATTGGTGTACTTTCTATAGTCCACAACTCTGCTACGTTCTACACGTATTCCCATGGCGTCTTTCGTAGCATGAGTCTGATCTAACATCTAACGTATGTTTATAGGTTTGCCGATGTTTCGCAACGATACTCTGAAAATTGTTTGTTTCCGATAAATTGATAGAAAATTGTTGCTGCCACTCTCAATTGTAATTTCTGATACTTTTTACCAGATTGGTAACTCGTTACGTTCCAGATGATCGATAGTTTTGGTCAGTTAATGCGTCCAATATAGAAATCATGATCTGGCTGACCTCGCTTTGACATTCGAACGACATTGACTGCTAACAATACGATCTCCGTGATTTTTGTGACTTTCGGATGACCTTGACTCTTAACGTTACCGCGCCGATCATTCACGACCTTCGATCGAGCTTCGATAATAACAACACGGTTTCGATGACTTTCGGGCAAACAAAAGTTTATAAAACGTATGCAATAAATAGAGCAGAAAACCAACATCGAAAGCCTCAACGGCCTGTGTCTCTGGGCCATTTTATTTTCAAAGAGTAGCTTCAACGCCGCATTCGTGTTCTCTCCTGTCCGCTTTCCTTCTTTTCTTACTTTGGAATTTCAAACATTTTTCCGCGGGGAGAGATAGAAGAAAGATTAGACGAACGTCCAATTTAATTTCAGTTGCCAACAGATTAATCTTCCAGATAAAAGAAATTTCATCTGCAGTGTTCGACGGCCGATTGGTCGGTACTGGACGACGTTCGATGTTCGGTACCGAACGACCAACGCGTGGAAACTTTTTAGATTATAACGTGTATAATATATAAAGATACTTACGCTTAATATATTACACTTGGTAGACAGTATCGATGGTACGCTCGATAGTACAGTATACGTAATAGAGAAAAGTCATTTATTTGCCCGAGGGACAACATTTTTTTCTTTAATATCTATATTACATTTACTGGCTCTATCGAGGCCTAACCTAACCAGCAAACCTAATAGCGTAGATATCGTGTACGTGTGGACAACACTCGATAGTGTTTCCACTCCAGTTCCTTATTTTTCATGCCAGCAACTCGTATGGCTTCGTTTTCCTCAGTCTTCCGACGCTTCAAGTTCGTGTCAGGTTTTTAACCAGTTCTGTCGCAAATTTTTCAATCCGTTCTTTTACGTATTTCATTCTTAGATGTCTGATATGCTCTGTTATCGTTCCTCTCTCTCTCTCTCTCCCTCTCTCTCTCTCTCTCTCTCTCTCTGTTATATCAGGATGAATCTTTCACAGATCGAGAAAGTAAAAATTGTTAAATTCGCCAATTCGATCGTTAGACAACCTGATCGTAAATTACCTTTTTATCATAATTCGTGCGAAACGGCTGAATTCGATGCAAGCCATACGTATTAAACAACTTGTAACTCACATGGGTCGCGTAACAATACAATTATGCATGTATTTAGTGCAGTCATCTCGATGTACGCGTCAACACTACTCAAGGATTTCCGGTGTTCGGTGTTCAACACCCGTAAATCCGTGCATTTAAGTGTACAATCGACTACGTATATGCAAGTATGTACGTATCACCGATCAACTGTTGTTCGTCTTTGCAACACTTTTCCACTTAAAATCGCTTAATCGTTTAGTTGATCCTAGTTGGAAAATATTATTTTCGTTGTGCGGATAAATATGGGCAAAGTTGGGCTAGAAGCTACTTCTTACTCTGAAAGCGAGTTTAAAATTATTCTACTAAAAATAATCGCAGCAGTTTCATCTCTGATACAGCGAGTAGCAAAATAATACGTCAGAGTGTAAAATTTGAGTATAATAGAATTATATACGGACAGGACAAAGAGGAGACTTCGAATGTATCGAGAAGGAAGCGTGGATTTTCGACGTCGATCGCAGGTCTGTAATATTAAAGATAACTAGCGTGCAAGTTACTTCATGGTTGGTTAAGGTCCTTCGAAAATGGGTGAACAGGACACGACTCGCAGCGTCTTAAAGTCACGTGGGAAAAATACAGAAGGATAGATCGCGTAAGATTCCTCACGCCCCCTATTTCCTACCGATATTATCTCTCGATAGAAGCAAATAATTCCACGGAAACGAACAAAAGCAAAATGATTTCCGTCGATGTATATTAAACGATCGACTCGTTGAATGTTTCTGGCTACGTGAATCGCCGTACAGCGAACTTTCGACTTTAGTTTAGCCGATTCCTACGATTTTTCTTCCCGGTAAAAGGAAGGCGCTTTTTCTTTTTTCGTACGCTTACATTGTTTATCATTTCGACTCGTCGCTTGTCCCGAGCTATTCCATTATACAAGCTTTCTTACAATAGACGCATTAGCATTCGAAAGAGAACGTAGGTAGCACTAAAGCGCCACGTATCTCTGTAGTTGGCCCGCAGAAAGTGGCAGAAAGTTGCATTTTCCGCTTTAGCCGGGATACGCAAAGCGACGCTGAAGTTACTCTCGTAAATACATGTACGAACGTTGTTCTCGTTCGTTGTTACATACCTGCGTAAACACGGTCCGATATATACGCTGGAACTTTAACGAGTTTCGAGCAGAAGAAGACGGACACGAGGAAGGAGGTGGTAGATTACTAGGATACGTAGGCCTTCTTTACTCTACGTATAATTTCACGTTTATCGACTCTTTCACGGTTTAGCACGTGCCAAACGCGAACACGTAGTTTCATAGCGTTTTCCAGTTGCAGAAAATTGATTTACGAAAGCGTTTCGATTATACGTTCGAATGTTTTAGATATTTCATCGTTGAAAGGCAACGTACGAGAGGAAAAGGATCGAGCTCGTTTCTCAAGAGCGTAATAGCTAAACCTTATTCTTGGTAAATTTCTTAGGAAATCCTTACTCTTAGGAAAACGATTCGAGATTATATATATATATATCTTTTTAGACACGGCGACGATTTTAATTCATTTAGAAACGTTCGATCATTTCATAGCCATATTCTTTCATCTTTCTTGAATCGACGGAGAGTGGCGATATTTAACGCGAGTGTTTGTCGCTTCGTTCGACGATCGTCCACGTTCTTGGTTAACGCGTAAAAGCTAGTTTCCAGAGAACCGATTACGCCGATATTTCTTTCTCTTCTCTCCGCGCAGCTAATTTATTCAAATACGAATGCTTATAGCTTTCTCCTTCGAACAACCGCTATCTTTTTTTACCGGCGATCGTTGATCTCTGCGATCTTACCACTGCGGTTATCGTCGATCTATACATAAGCGTGCATCTCCTCTGCGTTATCAGAGAAACCGACGGTTTCTACATTACATTTGACGCGTCAAAAAGTAAAAACTACAGATAAATAAGATTCGACGATAATTCGAGAATCTATCTTATTAAAATTATCATTATTTTATGGAGAAATAAAAGTTACAGGTATATCGTTAAAGAATATTCACCTGTATTCACCTTCTCGCGAAGTTATCCGTCAGGGAGTAGAGTAACCGAGAAAGAAAGATTCTCGAGTCAGTCGTCGCTCTTCGAAAATACGGAAAACGCGAGATCAGTGGTGGACTCATCGGATTATCTTTTTATCCCGGTGCCGATCGTCCTTATGGAAAATTTACGAGACCTTTTACACGACATTCCCTATTGAGGTATTGTGCAGTCTGTTTGGAAAGTCGTTATTCCGACTCATTGTCGTTGAAATTTTGACCTCACCTGCGGCCAAGGGGGAAAAGACCGCTGCCAGTAAGCAAGGTGCCTCATTCATGCCGAACAATCGGCTAGAATTTCTTCGTTCTTTCTTTTATTTTTCATCCTTCTCGCGCTCTTTCGCTACGCTCTCGTGTACGCTGCTAATCACCGGATCTCCGCAACACTAGGAGATCGGAAAACTCGATTTTCTTAACCTAGGAAGACCAAATACCTAGCTCGTAATACCTAGCTCGTAATAAAAATAGTTATATATATTTTTTCTTTTTCAACGTTTCTTACGTTAAATAATATATCATTTTCGGACGAAATTTCATAATTTCGTAAAAGCGTCGAAAGAGAAATAGATTTGCTTTTACATAATACCACTCTTCTCTCGATTCTGTGCGCACGAATAAGGAAAATTCACCTCATTTTCTAAATCGATTTACGGTGTTCCAGATGGCCAAATCGTTTCAATCGTCTTTTTTCCCTTCTTGCTCTCGTTAGAACAATTTAACATTTAACATTTTAACTGTTCGTGCTATCGTCCTTTATAATCCTATATATTTCTATATTATATCGACGCTCACACTTCGTAGTTGTCATACTTTTGCGGTAATTGTTCAGCTAGTTTAAATAGTATTCAGAATTGCCTAAAAAACAATAATATCGCTTGCTCTGTCGATTTTGATACAATAAAATAGGAAAAAAAACGAGGAGCTTCACCTGTGTCCTTGACACACTACCGGCCTAAGCGAACATCGCGCTCCTTTGTCAATTTACGATACAAGGGAAGCTCGCTTTTTCTTTTTCCATCTGTCTCGTCGAACGAGGCTGCTTTCGAAAAAGTACTCTGAGATAACCTTATTCTTATGATATATTTCTATAGTCTTATATATTCTTATATAATTAGATATTTTGAGGGGTACGTATTGAAATATAATCATTCAAATACTTCGTTTAAAATGACGTCGTAGCTGGATAGCGTCGCGTCGCGTCGCAACGTCGGTACTTGAACGCGTTGTACCGAAAGACGATCTACGAGACAGAAGAAGACGATACCTCGTAGAGGTTCTTACATTTTTACCGACCCCATGCTGAGGAGCAAGTGCGGAGCACGCTGCACGCAGTCAAAAAAGCGAAGTAGGAGAACGAAAGAAGAAGGGTAGAGGGAAAGAAGGAACGAAAGAAAGAAAGAAAGAAAGAAAAAGAAGGGAAGGAGAAAAGAAAAGCTTGAAATTATTGGGGGAACGTTTTCTCGGTTCAGGGCGTGCCTCCTGCACGAGGGGCCGCTCGCTTATCGCGTGGCTACGGCAAACGTATACTTTAAAGTTTAAAGAATACGAGGTGCAGGACAATAAGATGAAATTTTGCACTTTTACGGCTGTCATAACGTTCCGACTGAGACGAAGTAGCGCGATGCTCCTCTCCGTCGTCCGATCGCTTCAGCTGGCTCGCGCGTTGCGTAATGTAATTTTCTGCTCAGCGACGATGCGTTCGGGTTTCTTCCACGGGATCATTTTTCCAACTAACGAATATTCGTGTTTCATTAGTAACAGCGATATCAGTGGTCAGTGCATTTTCTTTGGTCTACCAAAAGATTGTGTATTTTCTGCGTATCGTAGTTTATTACGTTCTGCACGATCGTTGATACGTCTGGCTGACGTCGCTCGTTTTAGGCTGCTTTCACACTGAGATACGAGTGCCGCGATGCGCGCTATATCGCTAATTGCGTACCGTGTGAATGCTGCTATTTGTTTTAACGTTTGGTCCGTGGTTTTCGTAGGAAACGTATGGTTTCCGAGTATAAGCGAAACGAATGTCGCGGTACCGCGTTTCGCGAGGATCGTCGTGCGATCGTTTCCATCGGTGTACGCGTATCTCCATGTGAAACCGGTCTTACCGCTCACGAATTAGTTAGCCCGATATCGACGCGAAACCAAGTTAGATTTTGCGTTACGTTTTCGTTTTGAAAGATATCATGTTTGCTAATAAAAGATATAAAGTATGTAGATATAGTTATCTCTATACTTTTGTTTTATTATCAGCCTCTTTTCTTTTAGCAAAGTCACTCGTGTTTATACTGTATACTGCAATGTTACTGGAAACTTGTCCGACCACTTTATTATCTTTCAATTTTTAATTTCATTCATTATCATCCTGTTAGTATTATCGTACTTGTTGTACTTTATGACTCGCATCGAACAACTTTTACAGCGATTGACGATCGCGAGCAACGATCGACCATTAACGCTTTTTTCCCCGTAATAGTAATATTCGTGTACGATCGAGCCAACCGTGCTTCCATGCTCCTTAGGACGACACGATTGAAAGCGAATAGACAGAAATCATCGAGGGGTATTGCAGGAATTTACGCGCGTTACATTATTTGCATGTTCGTATGGCGTAGCCTGTGTATTTACGCGGTTGCTCGATGAATAATATTTATGCGTAAGCTGGCTCGTACGTGACAGAAATGACGAAACGGCGCTTGCTTCGACGATTGTTTCACGATAATCGGTTCGATCGAATTTAGACGAGTATCGATGGAACGGAAGAAATTTTAGGCGATCGTATCTGCGTAATCGCCGTAGTAGGTTAACGAAGCCTTACATCGGTATAAAACCAATCGTTTTTTACTTCCGATCGTTTTAGACGATCGCATCGGCTAAGACAGATACGATTGAGATAAGGCGAGAGATTAGCGCGTAATCAGGGATACTCGGATCGTGCTCGAATCTTTGCTCGATATGCCACGAATATCGTGGAAACATGGAAAATATATCTTAGCAAAAAGCGAATTTTATTTGACAAAAATTTAGCAAGTTAAAAATTTCTATTTCCATCCTTTTCCTTTCTTTCGAATTCTCTTCTTTATCCTCGGTTTCAACAGCGACGCGACACGCTACACGTAGATATATATTTTCGAATGTAAAACGGTGTTCGTAGTCCGCTCGAATGGTTGGCTTAGCGAGAGACTAACACAACATCGTGGGGTATTTTTCGGCTTCTCGACGTAGATAGGTCTCCGCTTGGATAAGAAGCGACCCCAGATAGGTCGGGCATTTGTTTTAGCAGGTCAGAAAGCATCTAGACCTGCCCGACAGGCTAGAAAAAAGACAGAGCGGCGAAAATAACCATCCACCGCGCTGTTACCTTTGTTGCACGAGCTCGGCCGATTCCTCTCGATAGATCCACGATAGATCCCCAAGACGTCGTCTAATCATTAGGGGTTTTGATTTTCGCGGGCCAGCATCGTCGTAGCCGATGACGAATACGCGATGATTCGTCGAGCTGCGTCTTGTGTAATTTGGAATAGACGTGGAAAGGTTTGTCGCGCGTTACGCGGCTCGGAAAACGCGCGGCTTTTGCAAACGATCGCAAATGAACCGACGACTATCGAGATTCGTGGAGGAAACACTCGTCGGAAGCTACAACAATAATAGATTTTGCGCAACACACGACATAGCGCGATACGATCGCGTTGATCTCAATATCGTATTTAATACGTTCCTGCTTTTGCTCGTTGTTTCGCTATATACTAGATACGTATTTCCGCGATCCGTGTGGAAAAATGATCTTTCTTCCCGTAGATTAGAAAGGATCGGAGGTGCGATCCGCAGAAAGAGAAAAACAACGGTACGTTGATTCGACAGAATTCGTTCAATGAACGTTGTACAGAAGGATATCGTGGAATTAATTTCCACCGCGTTCATCGCGATAACAGCCTACCGTACGTACAGCGATACGCGAACGGAGAGCCGAGAGAAAAGAAGGAGGACGAATAATCGACGAGGATAATAAACGCGATAAAGCGTATAGATGCAGATAAAACGTAGCTAGTACGGAGATGGAATATTCCATGGCGACGCGAAGCTATCCGAACGCGCGCTACCATGGTCGTGGTCATCGAGACGGGGAGATCGCTTTTCAGAAATGCTCGTCCGGTAATTGCTGCACAAACTCATGGTCGAAAATTCAACAAAGAATCGAGTATGGTCGGGTCTACGTGGCTTCCGAAGCCGTTTCCTTTTTTTCCTCTTCTACCCAAACAAAACTCTTTTACCTTACGTCGCGTCGCCTTCCTTTTGCGTTCGTGACTTCTCCCTGACCGAACAGTGTTCTCAACCGTTAACGTTCGTGGTGCTCCCTCCAGGCTACCTTCCAGACTACCTTCCTCTCTTATACACCATCGTTTTCTACGTTCTAAACGATACCTATCGAACTGTACGTTAAACGATCCGATTGTTCAAAAAATGGCCCAAGATATTCGATATCGTAGTGTGCAACTACCTGTTAGAAGATTTATTCGGTATAGTATATATATTTACTTGTCGCATCGCTACACAACTGAAATTTCGAAATAGGCACACGTTTAATTACGAGTGACTTGTAATTACGCAACTGGTGCTCGAGCCGAATGAGTCCCGAATTACAAAACGTAAATCATAAGTTTGCTGCGATGTAGTAGATAATTCAGAGCTACTGAATATTTATCGGAGCCCGGTTAACTCGGCTGATATGAAATGGCACGCGTTCTCCACCGATAATTTAAGAAAGGGACCAGAAAATTTGGAAGCGTACGCGTCTATTTACCGCTATAGTACATAGTGGTACATAGTATCGCTTGCGAGCATAGTACATAGACGAAAACATAAGTATATTTTAGCCGCGTAATTAGCGATGTTCGAATTATAATTCTCAGCTGCTGTACTTTCCCACGTGTAAAAAGGAACGAGTATTCTTTCGGTACCTATTTTAGCCAGTAAAGTTTGGCTTCCATTCAAGTTTCTAAGTCGTTTTCGAAATACCGGTGTCGAGTGGGTTTCTGTTAGACAAGTTATCCGAAATGAAACGTTCGACGCGAAACAAGTTTTACGATTGCATCGTACATCTATTTGTTCGATCATCGACTCTGATCGATTCGTATTATTCGTTCGCGTACAAAAGAATGCATTTCAATCCAATAATTACACGACGTAAACAATAAATAAGAATTTGTGATAGACGTGGAAAAGATACGATTCGTGTGATCGTGTATCGTCAAACGACAATTGATACAATTGTACAACAGAGATTGTAAATTTGATGATCTACACACACACACACACACATATATATATATATTTACTCGTAGAGTAAATTTCCCAGTAAATGAAAAATGTCATACAAACTCGTTTATGAGAAGATTTAATCCCAAACACCAAATAACGAATATGTATGTACATA